ACCATTTGTGTAGACTGCGTTGTATACTTTAAAAGTCCGTAATACTGTCAAATATTTTCATGAATACATATGATAGTAATTTAAAATATATTTTGAAGAACTTATTTCAGAATAAGGAATGAAGGACGGAGCTAAACATATGGCCATAAGGGTTCTGGCACTTCCATGGTTAAATTCACGGTTTGCATTGAAAAATGAATTAAAAAGTCGTTTTTCTCTTCTCTTTTTCATAAAAATGTTATTGCATGGAAATGTGCGTTTGAGTTCTAGTGATTTTAAGTTTATTATTTAACGTTACCATTGAAGTTTCTTTGGGAAAAGGTACATGAAAGTTGTCAGAGGAACTCAAATATTGCTGAATGCTGCACCGGATTGAAGGAAAATTGGAAGACTCGAGAAAACGCATTGCACACCAAATGTCGCAGCTGCGTAAACAACATTCTGGACAGCCAAATCCACTCGTCAAGGACCGTTGCAATCCCAAACTCGACTCTTAACCCTTTGAGGCATGCTATTCGACTTCGAAATTAAACGCGAATTTTGCGGAATGCAGCTGTTGCTAGCTGTTATGAAGTTTGTGTCCTTTTTATGCAGATTGAGGAAGTGAAACGCCTGACTCTTGAGGGGTCGTCGAGACTTGCGACAATAAAAAGGGTGGTTCTGACGTTCCGACCACTCTGAGTGAAAGGTTAAACGTGTTTTGATGGATTACTTTAAAGGATATGTTTTTTTCTTTTTTTTTTACCCCATGGCGACTGCCTTGTCCAGCTGTGAATCGATCTCCGTTCCGGTCGCGGTCGCATTCGTCATGGAGATGAATATCCCCTGTCACTTTAGCGATCAGAGAGAATGAATTGTACCAGGCACCTCAAACTATTTAATACTTGTCGAATGTGTAAGATTTTATTTCAAGGAGAACACTTGCAATTCTTGTGCATTGGGCCTGAGCAGTTTTGTGATGACCTCCGCAACAACTGTTGGCCACGTTTTTCCCTCATTCGGATTCTAAGATAAATGGAACTCAATTCCGTGCATGAGGGAGTGAAAGAGACTGAAACTCATTAATTCACTTAAAGGAATAAGATTAAAGGTGTTCAAACTAAGCATCAGCTGTGGCTTCGTGGGAAAAAAATAGGCCAGGTCGAATTTCTGATGTAAAACACTTCTATACTTTTCCTTTTAAAATCTCTCTTTTCCACGCCTGCGATTATAATTTCTCGAATCGAATGGATTTTAACCACCGGATCTCTGGAAAAGGGAATAATTGCCCAAGAGGCCGCAAGAAAGAAAAAGGGAGGAGGAGACGACCGAGGGAATTGTAACTCGTCTTTCGATTTTTTTTTTTGCAGTTAGAAGACATGTGTGCCATAAAGGAGAAAATTTCAGAAATTAAAGATAATAGTGAAGGCGTCTGAATTTTTTAAATAGTAAAAATAATATAGTTTAAGAGAAGTCAAAGTTTAACGGGCTTCAAAAGAAAAAATTCCATTTAGTTGCGCCAATCTCTCAATCGAGAGTCAAACTGGAAAACGCTTACATTCCGATGCTTTTCGACGATCGAGGTAGCAGAATGTAAATTAGTCTGGAAATCAGTCGGTTTCCTGCGTTGAGTCGCTTAATTTGGGGCAGTACGAAATTGGCATTGGCTCAACTCTTTCATATCGAGGGTGACATAAATGAGATGAGCGTAACTGTTAGTCTGTTCATGAAAAGCTAATGGGTGATGTTAATTATCTATGTAAATTACAAATGACCTCTCGTAAAAACATGGCGACCGGCAGATGTCCGTTTGACCGAATTTTGATCGATTTCTCGATCAAATCGATATCGATTTCAATCGATTTTTATCAGCAAAAGCTCATTCCTTTTCTAATTCCTTGTAGATGTGCAAACGCGTTTTAGATTTTTTTCCTGAGTTGACCTTTGACCTGACCCGGATGACCTTTCATTTTAATTTTGGACCCGAATTCCAGTGTGATTCGAAAGCCCCCGACACCTCTCCTGCTTGAATTCGTTCCTACATTGCAAAAATGTTGACATTTGATCCTGCTGTTGTCCTGCGTGCGCCTTACCTCCAATTAGGGATTCTCAACCTGGTATCCCGAAAAAAACAGTTTCCTTTAATTTCCTGTTCCCACGTACAACTTGAGGGGTGACATTGGAATTCCTCGTTAGACCCCATGAAGGAGGTAACCCGGCAGAAAGAGACTCCAGACACTTCCGGCTTGGAAGTCCGAAGAGACATCCCGAATTCGCCTTCCTCGCTTCACGGCACAGTGACTTGGGCTCTGATGTCGCTTTCGAGGATGGCAGCGTGATGACCAGGCGACGAGGTCTGGTTCTCCTCCTGCGATTACCTTGTGATGCCAGGCACGTAATTCCCTTGCTGGACGGAATGAGTCGAGTCATTCAAGTACTGAACTCGAGTTCCGATCCGGCGGAGGAAGTTACCTGGAAGGTCCCTTCCATGGTATAATTGCACTCGTTAGAGTACTTTCGAGCTCTACTCAACATTAGCACGTGTTCAGGCTCAGGAAAAGGATGAGGCAATGCCCAAAAACGTTGAGAACTGACATAATTGGCACGACGTTACGCATGATCTTATTTTCAAGGTTGAACTGTGTTTCAATTCGAGATTGCGGCAACATGGAATATTGCCACCTGGGATATCGTTGCGACTGAAATTGCGTATATTTTTTGCACGCTCATGTCTGCCTGATTCCGTTTTAGCCCTGTCCCTCTGGGCCCTTACGAGCCTGTAGCACTTTTTTTTTATCTGAATTTTCCGTGCATTTTCCTGCGAAAAATCACTCCATTATCATGGCACTAAATTATCGAGACAACAGCTGGATAATGCCCTCGCATCGATGATCGTGAGAGAAAGCGAATCGCGCGCGCGAGTCATGCCAATGTCGATCCCTCTTAAAATCCCTCTTCCTATGCTGAGCGAATGAGACAGATTCCAAATGAGACAGATTCCAAGTGAGACAGATTCCAAATGAGACAGATTCCAAATGAGACAGATTCCAAATGAGACAGATTCCAAATGAGACAGATTCCAAATGAGACAGATTCCAAATGAGACAGATTCCAAATGAGACAGATTCCAAATGAGACAGATTCCCAGTGAGACAGATTCCGAGTGAGACAGATTCCGAATAAGATCAGCGATATAGAAGACGTTGGGCATGGGCGGTTACCAAGTGCGTTCAACTGTGATTTTTTTTCCATCGGGGAATATTTTTTCCGGCAATCGTCATCCTGCGAACAAAGTCGAAATTCACTGTCGAATCAGCCCGTGAGTAGACAGACTTTGTCCGAGTCGAGGCAAGAACGCGTTAATGCTCTCGTTTACACACGGCATGGGCAGAGGGAGATCATGTACCCACGTGTATGAGGGGCAGCGAACCGGTTATGAACCGGTGCCCCATCCGGCTCACAGCACGTAGGCAATGTAGGCCGGAAAAAAAAACTACCCTGTATTCTTTCTCGTTGAAGGATTTTTCTGGAAATTTTTCCGCATCGATGCATAGTAGATCCAGAGTTTAAAGGGACGAATCGTCCCTTTAACTCCCGGGAACGTTAATCGAAGTACAAGCTGCAAGCTATCGCCACTTTTTTTCCTTGAACTCTCATAGTTTGAGAAAAGAAAAATATTTGCCATTCTGCTCTTCTGCACTTAACAATCGCCAACTTCAGTTTTACTCCGAGCAAAGTTCCTCGGATAGTTATTTACTGAGAGATATTTATTTATGTCCCCCCCCCCGGGTGTTTGGAGTTATTACTCATCTGCTCCCGCTGTCTAGAACGTTCTTTCGCCTGTCATTGAGCTCATGGATTTATGTGGCGTATTTTTTATTTATTTGATTGGACTGCCATGAACGGAAAGGTCGCCATCGATCGAAATTCTTATCGATATGCGAGCGCAGGATCCATTTCGTATCGATATCGGGATGATACGGAGTGGAGACTAAATATATATATTATATATAATTATTGCTTGACATTACTTGATGTACGGATAATCTCATGAGATTAAATTCCTTTTGAGGGAGTTACGAAGGGTTTAAACCGCAGGTGGATTTTAGAAGCTCTTCAATCAAGTCGCAGATTTTCGCTTGTTATATTTAACTCCAAGTATCAGAGCGAACACTCGATTAGATAATTTATTCATTTCCAGTCGGGAGACAATAAAAATTGAAGACACATTAAATACACCAACAGATGAACAACAAGAAAGTCCTCGGGATCATCGCTGCAAAAAACAATGAAGTTCGAAAAAAATTGGTCTAGCAATAACGAAGCAATTTTATGGCTTGCATCCAGGAAAGTCACAAAATCAAAATTGCTTAAGGAGAGAGAAAGAATTTAAGGAGACGTAAAGGCAGTGGGTGGAACTCCTCACGTCGAGATGAAACTGAAGTGTGCGCAGAGCCGAGCAAGGGGGAAACGTTAGGGTCGCGATGAAGAAAGGGTGGGGGGGGGGGGGGAGGATGTGACGAAAGGTGTTAGAGAACGCCTCGTCCAAGTCGAAAAGAACGCTCTCGTCATTGCTCCGAACATTGGCAGGGAATATTGGCAGGGAATATTGGCAGGGAATATTGGCAGGGAATATTGGCAGGGAATATTGGCAGGGAATATTGGCAGGGAATATTGGCAGGGAATATTGGCAGGGAATATTGGCAGAGAATATTGGCAGAGAATATTGGCAGAGAATATTGGCAGAGAATATTGGCAGAAAATATTGGCAGGAAGGGGAAAGAGGCTGGAGGACTGCTCGACTTCGTGGCATCGGAGAAGAACCGATTCAGGCGTTCGGACGGAAATCACGATAGTTTAAGAAAAGGATACGTGGTGTCAGTTTTCGAAATTGAAGAGTGGACAAAGGAAATGAAAGGAATTCGGATGGGACAAATGGTGGATGGGCCATGGAAAGAAGATGGATCAGAAAAAGATTCCTGGGGAGCAAGCAGCGAGAAACGACAAAATGGAATTTTTTTTTAAAGCGAAAACCCAGTGTTGGGGGTGGTGAATCCCGAGTTCACCACCTCCGCCGTGGAGGTGGCATTCACCCCCCTGGGCACGTGCTCGCTGGATCTGAACTGCAGAAAGATGATGGTGTACATTATGACCTGGCGAGCGATCTGCAACGAAGAAGGACATTTAAATTATTATCTAAAAAATTTTTTTTTAGAGACGTTAATTTTTTGCATATTTTTCTGCACAAATTTGCACTCACATCATAGTAAACCGGATATCCGAGACGAACGAAGCCGGATCCCGTGAGCGTGACTCCCTCCGACTGGAGAATTCTCTTCAGCCCGTATGCCTCCTGCATATGTGAGATGAGCTCATGATTAGCTCATCCTCTATATGGAGCGGCGCCCATCGATTTCCGAGTGGGCGATTCCAATTTTGTCGAATGGAAAGCTAATCGAATCGCCCCAATGGCGATGGTTGAAGTATCAAATGGCGGTCATTCGCCGAATGACCTTGAGCGTTAACTTGGTATAAAAAATTATATGAAGGTATATAAAAGCAATAAATGTCGGATGTGCATTATCATCACTCATTTCTCCCATAATAAAATCATTTCGGACTATTCTGGCTTCCTCAGGGGTCAAGCTCGTCTCGTTTTTCGCGACGAATAAAATTTCAAAGGAAAATCGCCGAGTGAATTCCAAGGGAAATTCCCTTGTAATGGGGTCGACATCGACCCATCAGGTCGACATCGACCCATCAGGTCGATGTCACTTATTCATAACTCATTGTAATTATAATACAGAAAAAATAGATATTCGTTCACGCAGGCCATCCAATAAACCTTGAACCTCTACCCTCACGCCACACCCGCACGCCCAAGCATACGAGCGTGTGCGTGCTAGCGCTTTTGCCGTCCTCGTTGCGCTGTAATAATACTGCGAGGGGAGGCACGTGAGTCTTTTTTTATTGATCGTTAAGTACCGAGCCGTCTTTCTCTCCGGATTCCTTTATGTTCTATGAGGATTCGCGTTTACGAGGCAGGGATGCACGAACTGCCCGGCGATCGCGTCCTCGAGATTTTCCTTGGATTTCCCAGCTCGTTCAGCTTGGATTTCCCAGCTCGTTCAGCTTGGATTTCTAAAGCCGCTCAGACTTGACTTCGTCGGCGTGACTTTTTTGCGTGGATTTTGGCAGTTTGATTAATTCTTCCATTCGATAAAATATCATTCAACCTAACTTTCCCTGATTTTCGGTAGGCATACCGTGGCTCAATGCCACTGTATACCGGTGATACCGGTAGAGCAGGTGCCTCAGAAAAAAAAGAGCGAGTCGTTCTGTCGTGATGGCGTGGAGTTACTCGCGCATCTGCGTTGTGCCATTCGATTGAAAACAATGGGATTCGTTCGTTTCAACCCTAATTCGTGGATTCGTTATTAATAAGGAATAAAACCGCTATTCATGTTTCCGGGAGGACTAAAAATTATGGGAAAAAAAAGCATCATGAAAGAGAAACCATCTAGTCACCGAGCAATGGGCATAACCAAGCGTTCCCACTTGGATCTTGGTCCTTGAGGCCGGATTGAATGCACTACGGTGACTTCAAGGAAGGATTCGGTTTTCCCCGGCCGGTGGGCGTCACCGTGGGTGGAGATGGGGAGTGTAGCTGGCAGGGTATTATTTTTATTCTAAGCGATGGTTCTCGGTATGGCGACGGTATGAACATTTCCACGGTTTTCCACGGTTTCCATGCCGTGGTGATAAAAACGAAAAATTAATCGAAGGGGTCGGTATGATTATCACGAGATCTGAATACGATGAAAATGATAGTATTCCGTGACACGCTAATATTTTGTCTAATATTGTCTCAAGGAAATGGGATTGAACCTCAAAAGGTTTGAGGTTCAATGGAATGAGGTTCATGGAATTGAACCTCAAAATCGATTTGCTAAAATGGGACTCACAGCCGCAATTTCGCTTTCCGGGCAGGCAGGATCTTCGATTTTCGACAGGACTCTCCAGTTTATTTCCCGACGTAGTTTCCGATCCTTAAAAAAAAAAGGATTTACTTGCTGTTGCAAAATTTCATATGGAGGGGGGGAAAAAGGTCAAGAATGGTTTTGCGGGGTCTCACTTCCTCCCTGACGCGATGAGCGGCCCGAAGAAACACGGCAGTGGAGGACCAGCTGGCGAGAGTGCCCAGGGCGAAGGACGAAAGGGTAGCGAGGATATTCAGGGTGTTTTCATTGAAATTCAGCTCGATGAGGACCATGAAAAGAGTGGCGGTGGTCGTGATGATGGTGGCAACGAGAGCGAGAAGGACTTGAATTCCCAGGGCGGAACTGAGGAGTCCGACGAATTCCTTCAGCCTCTTGTCCCATAGATTCACGTCGACATCCTTTTTGGTGACTCGAGGGTCGGAGATCGCCGCCGTCAACCAGCGATACGTCTCGGCGACCACAGAGCAGAAGTAAATGCAGAGGAAAGGCGGAAAGAAGATGGAATTGATGAGATGCATCCCGCCCAGCATGCCGACGGTCACGAAACCGGCGGGAAACCCAGCCATGATGAAAAAGACATTAATCGCAACGGCGATGAGGAACGAGGCGAGCCCCGGAAGGAAATACGACCATAAGAGCTCCTTGGACTTCAATTCCAACCCTGCGTCGACCAGAATCTTTCGACTTTCTTCGAAGACGACCTGGAGGCTCCTGGCCTTGAAGAAAGTGAAAATCGGGGTGCAGATGCCGAGTCCCACGAAGCTTCCGTTCACGATGATGAGGACGGTGAAGGCCGTCTTGGATCGCTGCTGCAAGAGGGTCATTCCCATTTGCAGCATCTCTGAGCCATGAGGGTGGCTTTTGTTGCTTGTCCCGTCCCCTAGGCTCTGATAGATCTGGGCAGGGATGTCCCCTGTTTTAATGGAGAAGGAAAAAAATCGAGAATGGGGAAGGTCTTTCTAAATGATGGAGTACATAAGTCGACTTGCGAAATACTTTTTCCTCTAGAATTAACAGACATTTTCTTTCCGGAAGGTCAAAAGAAGAGCAAACAAATTGGAAAATGTGACAACTATTGTCCACGGCCTCGACCCAACCGGTGCAATAGAGACTCAGTTATGAAACCCTAGGCACAACCGGAAGAATTTGCTGAAGGAGAAGAGATTATGCGAGGCGGCATCATGGAGAGCATTTCGGCACGATTTCGTCTCCATGCCTAAAGTCAAGAGAAGAACCTGTGCTCCATGATGACGAGCAAAATATTCTTAACCTGACTGGATACCGCTCAGGTATGAATAAAATGAATGAAATAAAATAAAATGAGCGCATTCGGTCCTGGCGTTCCATTTTTTGCTCCTCCACTTTTTTCGCTACCCTTTCCTCAGCATCTAATTTTACGATGAAGGAATGGTTTTTTTTTTTTTTTGGTTTGGGGTTAGTTTTAGCGAAAGGGGAGTGAGGACGACCTACTATCTCGATTTGTGGTTTTTGTCGACTCTTGACATCGTGAACCGTTTGGGTCGCGGCGATGAACATTTTGCTAATCACTTGAGATTGCCGTAGTCGTGCTGTGCTATTATATTGGGACGCGATGGAATCCTTCGGGCGTTTTTTTTATAAATTAAAATTTTCAAGGATATTGATCATTCCTGAATTCTAGCTGAAGTTCCGGCAGGTCCCAGTGTCAGGAAAGAAATTATTCCCAGGTTCCATCATAAGAGGTTCCAGGAAGAAAATAGAAGGCAGTTAGTCGCTTCTTCTTAAAGTCCATCCACTTAGAGAAGGGATGGTTTCTCATCTCTCAAAAGGCCGATTGTAGTCGTGATTAATGAGTGGCTGAGGGGATGGAGGGCATGCAATTAGCACCTTCTCAGCCTGCCCTGTTGGGTGTCAGTTTGGAGATGCCAAATAGGGATATTCTCTCTTGTCTCTACACTGACCTTTGTTACAGGAGAGGACGTGAAATGTAGAGGCCGCGGACTTTTAACTTTCTGCTTTAGCATTTTTCAAGTTACCTTGTCGGGTTCGGGAACACCGGCGCAACAAGCAACAACAAAATGGAATTTTCCCCATGAAGCATTCTCTTCATTTCTGGCAACTCTGATTTTCCTCTTAGGTCTGACATAAGTCCTCAACCAGTGCTTCATGATCCTCGTTCGGGCATGAAAAGAAAAATTGTCAGAAATCTCCAAGTTATTTTACGACTAGTGGGTCCGAGAAATCACCGCTGTCAACCTGGTTTGCCGACTAGCTCTTCTCGAAATGAATGGACTATAAGCTCACATGATTCCGAAATATGTGGCTTGCCTTCTCTACTCCTCTATGGTTCATATGTCTCGGATTATAAAACCCAGAGAAGAGAAGGAAGACTTACCAGCAGTAGCAAGCCAGTAGTAGCTGCTCAACATTATAAGAAGGAGCCTGATGAAGAACATGGAGGTTGGAAATGCGAGCCAACGAAACTTGGGATGGCCATGCAACAGGTCGGTTAGGGGGAAGTCCCCGGTGATGGACGAGGTGATGCACATCCATTTCAGGTAGCGCGGAGGCTCCCCCCTTGCTCCTTTCTTTTCTCCGACCTTCATAGCTCGAGGCCCGTCCATCCGATGGGTTCCACGTGCGGTGTGCCTCGTGAGCTCACCGGCGGTGCGGAATGCATCAAGTGTGATGGATGCAGCTGGGTGGTGCTCGTCGATAATCGATCTGAGCCGTCCGATCGTTGTCGCAGCCATTACGGGTATTAAAATACCGTGGGGAGTGCAACGTGGCAAACACTCCACTTCCATTTTTTTTTTATGCATAATGCATAGATTCGTAATATCCGGAATTGCGAGGTCTCGGCTGAGTGGATCGGTTTTTCGGTCCTCCAGGCTTGCGAAATGCGAGGGGATTTGCACGACCGAGTTCCGAAGGATGTCAGAAGGGAAAATAGGAAGGAAGATGGACATCGCGAGGTGCTCTCATCGGCTTTGATGCATCCCTCTACCGGGTCGAATCCAAGCAATATTTAAGCAATTTAAGCGAATTTAAGCAATAGCAATACAGTTCCGTGCCGCTTCGTTTCCGAGCGATTTCTTCGATCATCATCCAGTTGGCTTTCTTCCTGGCTAGCCAGTGGCTAGCCAGTGGCTAGCCAGGGTGCGGGGGAGGAAGAATATTCGGCAGAGCCCGGGAATTTTCCACGCGAGAGAAACCTTCAAAGGGCAACGCGAAATTATGAAAAATCGATCCATTTCTGATAAGTGGTCATTTGGAATCCGCGAAGGATCATTCATCTTTCTCTCACGGCCTGAGAAAACCATGAACTGTCTCTCCCAGACAATTGCAGTCCTTGAGAGACTTCAGGAGCGATGGACTATCAAGGGAGAGAGTGAAATTCGCGACCAAAGTGGAAAAGAAAAGGGAATCGATGGGAGTCAAGGTCAATAAAAGGGAAAAGGGGGGGATTCCCACGAAATTCGGACGGCGGATGAGACGAATTAGAGTCTCATGCTCTCTCACGTTCGGCCCTTTTTTTTTTATTGATTTATTTAAAGGTCTTGGACGTCCGCATGAAGGCAGGAAGGGTAGGACCATTAAGAAAAGTGACTTGACAAGAACCCCCACCCAGGCGGAAACTCGAGACCCCTGAGATAAGGGCCACACGAGCCGTTTCGAGTTTCCACTCATCCGGGCCACCAACCTCGGACGCAGTGGGAAAGCTACACGACCGACCCCCCCCCCCCCCCCCCCCCCCCCCCACCCCCTCCCCCCCCCCGAAGGATGAAGAGGGTCGGCGATGTCAGATCGAAATCGGAACTCCCCCCCCCCCCCCCCCCCCCCCCCCCCCCCCCCCCGAAGGATGAAGAGGGTCGGCGATGTCAGATCGAAATCGGAACGGGTTGAAAAGTCCATCTCGAGAAGAGATGAGAAATCCATCTCGGTGCTTTTACGCGATTGGATCATCTGCAGCGAAGACCCAGCGAAGCCATTCACGTCGATTCCTTCTCCAGATCAAAGCCGTCAGGAATGAATGGGACTCCTGCCTCCTCGCGAAGACCGCACCCTCCCTCGCAAATACTCAGCAGAGTGCATTAAACTGGATCCCGAGCGAGCGTCGCCTCGAGGGATGTCGAACAGCCTCCCCCGCACCCCCACGGCGAAGGGGACGTGATGCCCGGGAGGGGCGAAGGGAGGTGCGCTGGGAGGTGCTCCTCCTCGACGACCTCCACCAATTAAGGAGGAGGGTTTTAAGGAGAACCGTTGCGAGAGTGGTCGCTCCCGTCCGGTCGCCAGTGCGGGATAGGATGTGGCTCCCGCGGGTGAGGCTCTTCCACGCGCTCCTTCCTCGTGCCGGCGTCATGGTGAGTCCATCCATTCAAATTCCTGTTCATCCATTATCATCCGTTATCGATGCGTTTGAGTGATCTTGTGACCTGCCGGGGGATGTCGCCTGGATTTTTTTTTTACGTCGGCGTTTGCGTCATTGATGAAAAAGGAAGGCCGAATTTATTTTTCCATGCACGCTGAAAACAGTATCTCATCAACATCTCATATACTATTCGAGATCGACGAATTTTCACGTCCCTCCTTCCTCTGCCAAGAGACCAACTTCATTTCAATTTTGCGAACGATGGAACGCATTTGCAATGTGCAAACCGAAGTGCAAAGAATCTGATGACGTTCCGCCTTTAAAATTGACGAAATATAATAATATAATAATATAATATAATAATAGGTTTAGACCTATTATTATACGGATGAAAAATAACGGATGGGACCAGCATCTCGCGGATGAGCGAATCTCGCGGGAAAAATTCCGCCGCGACTGCATGGAAAAAAATTAAAAATTAATATTATTAATTGTCTTTAATTTCTTCTCATTATTTAATGCCTGGTTTTTAATTGCCTGCTTCATGATGCAGCGAAAAATTAATTTTTCAAGATTAATTTTCGTGATTCTGGCAGGCGAAGTGTACCCAATTCGAACTTGGTTTAAGTTTTGAATTTTTTTTTTCCATCGAAGGTTTCCGGAAATTCCTGCTCGGAAAAAACTAAAATTAAGAAATGTCAAAATTTTGCTGCATAGTTGAAGAACTACATTTAGCTCATCGAGTCCTGCAAAATGAAGCATGTTTCTCCCGTTTAGACAGTTCCGGAGGTGCTGCCAAATTTTTGTGCAATTTTTTTTGGCAAAACTCGCCTCTCGGGGAACCCGTGGCCCCGAGCTTGCAACGGAAAATTTCCCACCCAATGACTCAAAACCGCTTCGCCGAAAACCCACGAAATGCTCATTTCTCATTAAATCACCATCGAACCTCCCCTTTTCCTTAAACCAGTCATCAGTGCTTCGATTGGAGATACTGTTATCATTGCTTCCTATCTATTATTATATAAATTCTTTTAAAATTTAAAAAGGCCTGATCATATGGATGCCACCTGAAATGACGAAT